GGGTTCTTAGCCCCCCAAAAGGTTACCCACCAGACCGGAGGGAGGAAAGGCGCATAAACGGCAAATTACGGCGCCGTGTGGCAAGTACTCTGAAGGAGTGAGGACAAAGGGTTAGAAAAGGCCACCTGGAGGAAGTGACAGGCAAGTGTCTTTCTGTGTCAGCTGTGAATTCATTAAGGGCACCAGGTTTAATAAACATATACGTATACACACATGAGCACACGCGTAGCTTCAGTAGGAGATTACATACAACTCAGGGCAAAATGAATCCACTTTCTTCCCCTTTCCCTCCATCCTGCTCTGCATAGTGCAGTGAAACATCAACTCTAAAGATCAAGGTCAATGAAGACTGGGCGCTAAGACCGAAAGTTCAGCTCGGTGCGAACTGCAAAAGTCAGCTAAGTCATTTGTTCTACATCTGTCCACCTTAGTGCCAGGAGTCGGCCCTCTGGTCTGGTCTGAAAAATTGTGTGGGCTTTATGATATGGTATTTAAAATTTTTTATTGATGTGAATTTACATATTTTATAATTACAACCAATTAAATACTTAAAGGTATTTGTTCTGCTGCTTTTCTTGTGGCCCTAGGTGTCGCTTAGCTTCTTGAACGTTAGGCAATATCTTGGTTTGAATATCAAGTTGATGTTTATGTGAAACTTAAAAATAATATCAGGAAGAAACCTTGAATAACATGTCATACGATTGAATCATTTGGCTAGATTTTTTGCTTCAAGCAAAATGGTAAAACATTTTTGATTAAAAGCTCACGAAAAGCTGTTGTTGTTGTTGTTGTTTCCATTAAGGATGCATCGGACTGAAGCTATTATGTTATTATAGCCATTCTTGTGTGATCTGAGCATCGCTGAGCCATTCCCCAGCACGCCTGCTGCCCCGTGGGAAATCACTGATGTGGGCCCACGTGAAGTTTGATCTATATTGAGACCAGTTATATTAGTTAGGGTAAGCTAAGCCGCTGTAACAAAAGATCCTACGGTAATGTGATTTACTGTACAGAAAAGTTGGCTGCGTTCTTACCTGGCAATTTGAGGTACAAGTTCTGGCTCACAGGTAGCTGTGCCCCAGGCATTCAGGAACCCAGGTGGAGCACAGAGCTGCCATCTCCAACAAGCAGCTTCCAGGATGCTCCGGTTACAGTGCCCCAGCTGGCGGGAAAGAAGAAAGGCCAGCGGTCTCTGTCACATAACTAGGGTTTTCCTTTCTTCGTGTTTATGGTATTACAGTTTAATGCATGCCCAACATTTATATCACACAATTTTTTTTTTTTTTAGGCGAGACAACGCTCTCTTCGTGTTTATGGTATTACAGTTTAATGCATGCCTAACATTTATATCACACAATTTTTTTTTTAGGCGAGACAACACTCGGTTGACTTCACAGATTGCAAGGAACTTGTCAGCTTACAATCCCTTATTTTTTAATATTTTTTATGCCTACGGGGCCTGGTTTTCCTAGGTGGTCTCCCATCCAAGTACTAACCAGGTCCGACCCTGCTTAGTTTCTGAGATCAGACGGGATCGGGCTTGTTCAGGGTGGCCTGGCCACAGCACACAATTTTCAAAGGTGGCTTCTGATATGGGGCTCTGACTCAGCAATACTACTCATAAAAAGTATAGTTATTTGATTAAAAAGTCACTATTTTTGTTTTAATGATTCGTATGTCATTTTTAGTAATAAAAATGTAAAATAAGATATTTAATCTATTTTGCTAATATTTTATTACTTTGTTACTAATGAAATAAAAGAGATTTAACTCTTCTAATTATTATGAGAAGGCATTTAAAGAAGTTCTATTGTAAAGCAAAAAGACTCATGATTCAAATTTTCATTATTTTATACAGTGATGAATTAATCTGTGAGATTAATTTTTGCTGTCTAATCCAAGTATACCTTATGAGTCCTGGATAATATTTCTTTGATTCTCAAAACTTTTGTAAATAAATATCATTAAATTTAATTTTGCTTTAACTTCATAGAAGAAAAAGAAACTGATATAAAATGGAAGGTATTAGTGAACGTTAGGTGATTATTACTTTCTGACAAGAAATATTAATTCCTAAGATGCTTTACAGTTTAAAGAAATATGAAGCACTTTAAAAGCTTGGAGGCCATGGCGGACTTGTTCGCTTCTTCGTTACGTCTGTGCTCACTCTCCACGGTGGTCTGGATTTCACATTTTGGCCACATTGTCCCTTTACTGCCTTCCTCTTGAACAGTGGACACGAGCCTTCCTCTTCCTCCATTTCTGAAAGCTTTCAGGCGGAGCAAAGCAAGGGAGGCAGCTGTGGTGTCCGGGGGAAGGTGACATAGTAGCCCAGAGTGGGAGTGTCACAGCCCCAAGTGGGTGAGCAGGTGTCTCCATGGGGAGACTGTCCAGAATCGGGAGTCAGGATCCAAGCAGAGTGGAACAGGGGTCCCCACATGGAGCAGCCTGGTGGGGGATATCAGAGTCTGGTCAGGATGACAGGGGGGTCGACAACGACCCGCAGACAGGAGAGCGCTATCTGAGCCCAAGTGCAGGGGGAGCGAGTTCACGCACGCCGCTGGTGACACAGGCTCCAGAACCACGCAAGGGGAGGAGGCTGTCCCCAAGGGGAATGGCCCCACACGGGCTTGCAGCACCCGAGCAGGGTCAGAAGGACATCCACGGGGGCATGGGGGCAGCCTGGCGAGGGGTGTCAGAGCCTGGCCAGGGTGAGGAGGCCATTCCCTCACAGCTGGCGTTGGCTCAGAACAGGAACTCACAGTCCGGGCAGAGAGCAGTGGGAAAAGCGGTGGTGTCAGAGACGAGAGACGAGAGACATACAAGGGGACTCACTGGAAAGTAAATGGACTAGGGATAATGGCCATCAAATGTCCCGCAGCCAGAGAAGGGAATTACAAACGTGGAAAAGGGAAGAACTAGAATTCTACCCTGTGCTGTTAGGTCGGGATTGGGATGTGAGGTGTATCTGTGTGAACTCACCGTTTTCGATATGTGTAGATGGATGTAGAAATAGATGTGGATATAAAGGGGTGTGTGTGCGTGCGTGTGTGTGCGTGTACGTGCGTGTGCATGTGCGTGCGTGTGTATGCACCTGTGTGCATGTGCGTGTGTGTGTGCGCGCGTGTGTGCTCTGTCCACTGGGAGAGCTTGAGAGTTGTGCCGCCTCAATAGCAATGAGCATATCTTGGCTTCTAAGGACTATTTTCCTCTAAAGGAACTGGAGCTCCTTGGATAAATGGCCGACTCCAGGGACTAGACCAAAAAAAGCATAAGATGAGACAGAAAAATCGTTTTATGCCCCCAAAGCAAGCAAGTACTCGAAGAATGATGAGGACATATCAAAGGGACACAGAGCCAGCTTGAATGGATTCCCAATGGACTAACGGGAGACAAGTGAGAGCAATAAATGACGTGATAGATTATAACTCATTGCATAATAAAATGGAAAATCATGAGTCCGTCTAGATATAAGTAAATGAATCATTTGAAAGTTCGATGTGTGATGAGATATTAACATCACACCACAAAATATTTGTTCCAAAGAGGAAAACAGTGACTTTAAAGGCGGGGCTGGGGGGTGCGCCTAGAAGACACCTCTTTAATCAGACGATCAACGTCATCAGTAACAGGCTGAACGGGAGCGATGATGAGAACACAGCAGCACTTCCGGGTTTTTCCTGCCAAAGATGCGACACCTGAATCTAATCACGAAGAAACAAGAAAGAAGTCAAACTGAGGGATAATCTACAAAATAACTCGCCTGCAGCCCTCAAAAGCGTCAGGTCACGAAATCAAGAAAAGACAAAGGATATCACATCGGCAACGACTCACAGATGGTTGAGGGGAGAAAAGTTCTTTGTATTATACTTCCGATTTTTCGGTACATTTGTTTCAAAAGCATACAGGTAAATAACTAGAGCTGGCAAAAATCTCCGGCTTTCTATGGGGACGAGCGACGAACAGGAACTGCTGTACTCCAGACGGTTGAAAATGTTTCCAGCCATACGGTTAGGCTTGCTCTGGAATCTTAAAAGATAATCTTGTCACAGTTTGATAAGTATCCCACTCTGAGAAAGAGATGAGTTTGCCGTTTTTCTCTGCAAACTCTGGTACTTGGCCTCCTGGTTCGTTAGCGGAATTCCAAGGCTCGTGTCAGAGGTGGTTGTCTCGCTGACAGAAAGTCACAGGTAGAGAGAATACGTATTGGAACCACTGGCCGCCCACGTGGTCTTCCTTTGTTAATATCCTTGCTTTCATTCTAATATTTTAAAAATCGTATTTTACTCTAACAAGACGATCGCTAACAGACATAATTTCTAAGTAGCAAAACAGAGTCACCCACTTCATGAGAATCAGAGGTAGCTCTGACAATAAAAGAATTTAAAAGTTGAAAACCAAAGCCCACTTTTCGTAGGCTCTTTTAAGAGAAAGACAAATCTGGAGGCAAAATATCTTATAAAATGACAACTCACATTTGGAAACCCGAGACGTCCTGGCGAAATGTCTACGGTCAACAGCAGTTATGCACCTTGGGAGATTATTCATGAATTCTGAGTCTGGGCCAGTCTGCTGCTTCCCCTTCAAATATCTGAACGTCGGAGCCCCCGTCCCGATGCCCACTAGACTTTTTCAAAGGATCGGTGGTCAGACAGCTTTAGAAAGTTTCTAAGGCTGCCCCCACCCCCCATCCCTGGCATGGCTGTGCTCCCGTCCCATGTGGCAGCTTCTGCCCCTCAGGGAGCTGTCCGTTTGGGGGAGTCCCCTGACTTCGCAGTGACGTACGTGTCTGAGACGCTCGCTATCTGCGACCACTGCCAAGAACTGCTTGCTCACCTTTCAACGGCGGGGGAATCCCCCTTTTTCTGTTCTGAGTGAAGCTGCAGAAAGGACACGTCAACGAAGCCCGATCCTTCTCACCAACCCCAGCCCACACCTCCCAGAAAAAAGCCTGGTTAAAACCGCTTCCTGTAGTTGAGACGAAGCAGAGACGGCCAGGCACAAGTTCCTGGCTGAGCAGAGGACAACTGCCGTCGGTGACAGAGATGACGGGGGCAGCGGGGACGGCGGCCCGCAGGGATTGACTCTTTCATTCCCCGCCTCCCAGCACGATGCTGACGGGAGGCTGACAGGAAACCCAGCCTTCTGCAGAGCAAGGCCTTATCTTCGCTGCCCCAAAGGACACAGCCTATCCCACGAGCCGGGAAGATGGAACCAGGCTTACTGATGTGGAGATTCCTCACACTCATTCTGGTAACAGAAGGCGTGACAGGTAAGGGGTCACGGGTGCCCTCGGGACCCTGGGAAGGCTAATGGATGTCGCTTCTCCCCAGCTGCAGAATCACAGAGGGCGCCTAAGTAGAAGGTGTAGGGCAAGGGGTT